ACGGTACAACAGTTCCAGATATAAGTAGTTCCAGATATAAGCATTTCCAGATATAAGCATTTCCAGATATAGGCATTTCCAGATATAGGCATTTCCAGATATAGGCATTTCCAGATATAAGCAGTTCCGTGAGGGATTAACCTGAGAGCTCACGGACCAATGTAAGGGATTCATTTTGGGAGCCGCAGTCCGAGAGAGATTTAAACAGCGCTTGCAGTCCAAAGAGAGGGATTTAAACAGAGCTCGTAGTCCAGGGAGGGATTTAAACAGAGCCTGCAGGCCAAAGTGAGGGATTAAAACTGAGAGCATGCGGTCCAATGTGAGGGATTTAAACAGCGCTTGCAGTCCAGAGAGGGATTTAAACAGAGCCTGCAGGCCAAAGTGAGGGATTAAAACTGAGAGCATGCGGTCCAATGAGAGGGATTAAAACTGAGGTCTTGCAGTCCAATGTGAGGGATTAAACGGAGCTTGCAGTCAGAGTGAAGATTTAACGGAGCTTGGTTAAAGAGAGCCTGCAGACCAATGCGAGGGCTTTAAACTGAAGCCTGCCCACCAGCACGGGGCCAACTGAGCCTGCAGTACAAAGCGAGGGGAATAAACCGTCCGCGGATCTCATACTTACCCACAGCGCCAGAAGACAAGGGACAACACAACGGGACCACACCGTACCGGCACAAGGAGGCAGGGATGCGCACGGCTCCCACCGCACCGGGCTAGACCGGCCGTATGCAGCAGCAGGCCGCGACGAGACGAGCAGCGGCGAACCCGCGGAAGAGAAGAGAGCGGCAAGGACCCACGGACCACAGCACGAGACCCGCAGCAGGTGCAGGGACGCGGAGGAGGAGCAGGCCGCACGCAGCAAGACAGAGGACAGCAGGGACCGCAGGAGTAAGCGTGAGTAGACAAAAGCGATTCCTCCAGAACGATTCTTTGCGAGGCTGCAGGAGCTTGCGAGGCTTCAGGAGGCCGGTAGTGGGAGTTGCTCCGTTTTTATGCGGCTGCGAGTCGGTACAGATGATTGGAAGGGGGCGTCTGCTGAGCGATAGGCTGGGGATGAGAGCCGGCCTGGAGGGGGTAAATTTGGTTAACGTCTACCAAATTGAATTTTCGCGGGCTGCATAACAATTTTCCTTTGGCGCTGAAAAAGCAGTAGTCAAGCCGATCTTCAAGTCAGGAGACAAGCTCTGTGTGTCAAACTATCGACCTATTAGTATCCTACCAGCCATCTCCAAGGTCTTTGAGAAGGTGGTGGCAGAGCAGCTAGTGGAGCATCTCGACCACACTGATGCATTACATCCCTGCCAGTTTGGTTTCAGGAAAGGATACTCCACAGAGTCCGCGTGTTGCTACCTACTAGAGGACATCAAATCCAGTCTTGATGTTGGTGGTGTGGTAGGGGCGGTCTTTCTGGACTTGAGAAAAGCCTTTGATACAGTTAATCACCAGCTTCTCATCGGCAAACTATCTAATTTGTCTCTTGACAAAAATACAATAGCATGGATTCAATCTTACCTTAATGACAGACAACAATGTGTTGCAGTCGACAATATAAAATCACCCTTAAAACCTTGCAGCATGGGAGTGCCACAAGGTTCCATTCTGGGCCCCCTGCTGTTTACACTATACATAAATGATCTGCCAACTGTCTCTAAGAGTAAAATTATTATGTATGCTGATGACACGGTGCTATATGCACATGGCAAAACTGCGGAAGAAGTTGCTCTAAAACTGACTAATGAGATGAAGAAAGTTTCTCTGTGGCTGAAAAACTCATGCCTTACTTTAAATTTAGATAAGACTGTTTCGATGTTTTTTACAAATCGTCATAAAATACAAAATTGCCCTGAGATTTTAATTGATGGACAAATCATTACAAATTCAGAGCAGGTAAAATATTTAGGTGTCATATTGGAACCAAATTTAGGCTTTAAAAAGCACATAAAAAAGTTATCAAATACAATAAAATTTAATATGGCACAGTTCAGATACATTCGAAATTCCCTTACAATCGAGGCCTCAGGAGCCTATCTAAATGCAATGATTGTTCCACATTTTCTTTATTGTATGACAAGTTGGTCACAGGCTTGTAAATCTGCCCTCAGGCCACTTGAGTCATTATATAAAACGTCTCTAAAGATACATGATAAAAAAGGCAGACGATTCCATCACTGTCATATCCTTGTAAAATACAAATTACTTAGCTTTGAAAATTTGATAAATCATAACAATCTGTGTCTGATGTATAAGATCCTCCATGACACCGCTGCTCCTCCACTAAAAACGTTCATCTCTTTGGGCTCTGAAACAACAACTCGAGCCACTAGATCTACAGTGCGAGGCGAATGTAGGATACCAAAGCGAAAGACAGCATTTGGAAACTCTGCTTTTTCTTGTGTGGCCGCTCGTCAGTGGAATATGCTGCCTACAGAGCTGATAACAAGCACAAACTTTTACACATTCTCACGCCTGGCAAAGAAATGGCTCCTGTCAAATCAATCTTGCATCCACATGTAACTGGATGTATGTCTGTATGTGTGTTCTGAGGTCTAAAAGAGTAGACCTGAGTAAATGAAAGGTGTGTATAAGAGTTTGTATCTGATTGTTGTGCATGTGAAGATTTGCTTTTACTATTATGAACTTGATCAATGTAAATGCCATTATCCATGTGTGCATGATGTTTTTATGTTTTTTACTATAACACCAGCCTGCCCAGGGACTACGGGTGGAAATTAGCTCTTGAGCTATAACTTGGTACAATGCATCTCTCCCCTTGGGGTTAATGTTTATTGTACACTGTCCCTGTTTCTCTAAATAAAGAAAATTACAAAAAAAAAAAAAAAAAAAAAATTACCAGAGCAGAGAGGATTCATGGTTTTACACTGGTCCAGACCAGAGCAGATGGTCCAACCCAAGCGGCTACTCCAGTATCTGCTCAGACTTGTGTCTGTATGTGTGTGTGTTTGTGTGTGTTGTCTGTATGTGTGCGTGTATGTTCCTGTTGTGTCAGTGTGTTTTGAACAGTGAGTGGTGTTGTGTTGCAGAGATTTCAGTTTGTGAGACCTGTTTTATTTATCTATAACAAAACACATCATTTGAAATAGTTGTGGTCCTGTCACAAAAATGTGACCTCTTAATCACGCACAAATTAGAATAAAAATTGTTAAAGATTTACAGCAGCACCTTCTTCAAAACTATTTTACGTTTTATTCTAAATTACTTTTATATTTTTATACATTTTTAATCATTGTATATGATTTCATTGTTGTTGCTTTGAGTATTTTCTTTCTGCTGTTTTCTTTGTGCTGTCCTGGTGGGATTTGAGAGAGAATTTTTTTTTTTCAGAGAGAGACCAGAGAGAAACCAGCGAGCGAGACCAGAAAGAGACCAGTGAGAGACCAGTGAGAGAGACCGGTGAGAGAGACCAGAGAGAGACCAGAGAGAAACCAGCGAGCGAGACCAGTGAGAGACCAGTGAGAGACCGGTGAGAGAGACCAGAGAGAGACCAGAGAGAGACCAGTGAGAGACCAGTGAGAGAGACCGGTGAAAGAGACCAGAGAGAGACCAGAGAGAGACCAGCGAGAGACCAGCGAGAGACCAGTGAGAGAGACCAGTGAGAGACCAGTGAGAGAGACCAGTGAGAGAGACCAGTGAGAGACCAGTGAGAGACCAGAAAGAGACCAGAGAGAGACCAGGGAAAGACCAGAGAGAGACCAGAGAGAGAACAGAGAGAGACCAGGGAAAGACCAGAGTGAGACCAGAGAGAGACCAGAAAGAGACCAGAAAGAGACCAGAGAGAGACCAGAGAAAGACCAGCGAGAGTGATGAGAGAGACCAGGGAGAGAGACCAGAGTGTGAGACCAGAGAGAGACCACAGAGAGACCAGAGAAAGTGACAAGAGAGAAACCAGAGAGAGACCAAAGAGAGACCAGAGAGAAACCAGGGAGAGAGACCAGAGAGTGTTGTAGAATTAAAATGTTGTATACAAATGATTATCATTAGGTGTTTGCATAAAATGTCTTTGTGCAATATTAAGCCTGGATTTAGTGGAATTCAGAGAAGACTCAAGGACAAGATTTCTGTGATATAAGTATCATTTTCAGGAACAGCGTGTCTCTCTTATCAGAACAAGGCCTGAGACACAAAACTGGACTAGACCAGACCCAGACGAGGTTGTTGGTCTCACCATATGACGTCATTGGAACGCCTGGATGTTCTCTACATTTTCAGGCCTGGAAGGGACAGTTAAAATGGCTCAGCACAGGGTTAGTTAAAGGGAATCAATAGCTCCCAAGAGTTTTGTAATAACATTTAATTGTAAAGATAATTAAATGCTCTATTTTTAACTCTTGAATACTTGGTCTTATTTCTGTATCAGACAATAAGAGAGACCAGAGAGTGAGACCAGAGAGAGACCAGAGAGAAACCAGAGGCAGACCAGAGAGACCAGAAAGAAACGGGAGCGAGAGCTGAGAGAGAACAGAGAGAGAGACCAGAGAGTGACCAGAGAGAGTGACCAGAGAGAGTGACCAGAGAGGGACCAAAGAGGGACCAGAGAGAGGGACCAGAGAGGGACCAGAGAGAGAGAGACCAGAGAGAGATACCAGAGAGAGAGAGACCAGAGTGAAAGACCAGGGAGAAAGACCAGAGTGAAAGACCAGAGAGAGAGAGAGACCAGAGAGAGAGACCAGAGAGAGATCCCAGAGAGAAAGACCAGAGAGAAAGACCAGAGAGAAAGACCAGAGAGAAAGACCAGAGAGAGAGACCAGAGAGAGAGACCAGAGAGAGAGAGAGAGACCAGAGAGATACCAGAGAGAAAGACCAGAGAGAGAGACCAGAGAGAGAGACCAGAGAGAGAGACCAGAGAGAGATACCAGAGAGAAAGACCAGAGAGAAAGACCAGAGAGAGAGACCAGAGAGAGATACCAGAGAGAGACCAGAGAGACCATAGCGAGGCTTTGGTTCAGGACCATGATGCAGTGGTGTGTGTTTGTGTGTTTCAGGAGTGAAGAACATGTTCCAGACCAAAGACATGGAGTTCCGGAACGTGTCTCTGCCCTGGATGCCCGAGCACCACGCCATGGTCCCTCACCTGGTGGAGAAGACGCTGAGCTGCGAGCAGGTGAGCTCTGCCCTCCACATGGTGTCTGAAGCTACTGAGGACGTGAGCCACAGCAATCCAGCAATAGTAATCTGGTAATCGTAATCTGGTAATAGTAATCTGATCTGGTAATAGTAATCCGGTAATAGTAATCCGGCATACGGAGCCAATATGGATGCATCATTCCAACCAGCACAGGCCTCAGTGTTCATTGATTATTCATAAAAAGTTTGCCAAGATACATTTCTATAACACTTCAGTAACAACACTGCAAAAAGTGATGTAAAATAAGTACAAAATTCCTCCAATTTGGCAAAACAGGTCTTAATTCTAACATGTGTTGACCTTTTGCTCTGATACTGCTTCATTCTTGGCATTCTCTGGATGAGCTTCAGGAGGACCTGAAATGGTCTTCAACAGTCTTGAAGGAGTTCCCATGATGCTTAGCACTTGTTGGCCTCTTCATTCTGTGGTCCAGCCCCAAAACCATCTGGACTGGGTTCAGGTCCGGTGACTGTGGAGCTCATCTGGTCCAGCACCTTCACTCTCCTTATTGGTCAAACAGCCCTTATGCCGCGTTCAGACCGGATCATGCGTTGCGTCGGCTTTCAATGCAAAGTCAATGATGACGCGCGTTCGACCGTCAGAACGCAGGAACGTCTCGGAATGTACGCACGGACCGCGCTGGGAAGTCGAAGGGGAGGAACGCAGGAGATGAATCTTGCTCAACCTTTCCTCGGGACGTTCGTGCAGCAACCAATCAGAGAGCTGCAAAGTGGTCACGGGGACATCAGTGGACTGAGCGAGCAGACTGAATATACTTGTAAACAGCCAAAACAGGAGCTACATCAGGACTAAACCAGGACTAAATCAGGACTAAACCAGGGGTGACGATGGGGGACTCTGTGCTTGTAAACATGTGCTCCCGTGACTTTATGCAACTGCTTCGAGTGTGTTCGCAGATGCGGAAATACCGTTTAATAAAAAAAACGTATGGCGCACCTCCGTGAACACATACTACTGTTATATAAATTCACCTCCGTGAACACATACTGCTGTTATATAAAGTCTCCTCCGTGAACACATACTGCTGTTATATAAAGTCACCTCCGTGAACACATACTGCTGTTATATAAAGTCACCTCCGTGAACACATACTGCTGTTATATAAAGTCACCTCCGTGAACACATACTACTGGTATATAAAGTCACCTCCGTGAACACATACTACTGTTATATAAAGTCACCTCCGTGAACACATACTGCTGTTATATAAAGTCACCTCCATGAACACATACTGCTGTTATATAAAGTCACCTCCGTGAACACATACTAGTGTTGTATAAAGTCACCTCCGTGAACATGTACTGCTGTTATATAAAGTCACCTCCGTGAACACATACTAGTGTTGTATAAAGTCATCTCCATGAACACATACTGCTGTTATATAAAGTCACCTCCGTGAACACATACTGCTGTTATATAAAGTCACCTCCGTGAACACATACTAGTGTTGTATAAAGTCACCTCCGTGAACATGTACTGCTGTTATATAAAGTCACCTCCGTGAACACATACTAGTGTTGTATAAAGTCATCTCCATGAACACATACTGCTGTTATATAAAGTCACCTCCGTGAACACATACTACTGTTATATAAAGTCACCTCCGTGAACACATACTACTGTTATATAAAGTCTCCCCCGTGAACACATATTGCCTGTTATATAAAGTCACCTCCGTGAACACATACTGCTGTTATATAAAGTCACCTCCGTGAACACATACTACTGTTATATAAAGTCACCTCCGTGAACACATACTGCTGTTATATAAAGTCACCTCCGTGAACACATACTACTGTTATATAAAGTCACCTCCGTGAACAAATACCACTGTTATATAAAGTCACCTCCGTGAACACATACTACTGTTATATAAAGTCACCTCCGTGAACACATACTACTGTGTGCCGTCATAACCCAAGTCCAACAATACCTCCACACCTTCTCGCTCTTTGAAATTTTCCAATCCGGTTTCCGTCCCCATCACAGCACTGAAACAGCCCTCCTAAAAGTATCCAACGATCTTCTCCTTGCAGCTGACTCCGGTTCCCTTTCCATCCTCCTCCTCCTTGACCTCTCCGCAGCATTTGACACCATCGACCACTCTATCCTCCTCCACCGTCTTCAATCTATTGGCATCTCCAACACTGTTCTATCCTGGTTTTCTTCATACCTCTCCGACCGTCATCATTATGTTTCCATTAACAACTGCACATCCCAAACCTTCCGTGTCTCCACTGGTGTTCCCCAAGGTTCGGTACTGGGCCCCCTCCTCTTCATCATTTACATGCTTCCCCTTGGCCACATCATCCGTCACCATGGACTACACTTTCACTGCTACGCTGACAACACCCAGGTCTACATCTCCACCAAATCCATCTCCCCAGTCATCCTCTCCACCATCACACACTGCATCTCTGACATTAAATTCTGGATGGACCACAATTTCTTGAAACTTAATAGCAATAAAACCGAACTCCTCATCACCGGACCCAAGTCATTCCTTCCCTCTGCTCAAAACATCTCCCTCAACATTGACGGCCACACAGTCATTCCCTCCTCCTCTGTACGCAACCTCGGCGTTATTATGGACCCTCTCCTTTAGACCCCACATTAACCTCATCTCCAAAACATAATTTTTCCACCTCCGTAACATCGCTCGCCTCCTCCCCTCTCTCTCTCAATCCTCTGCTGAAATACTGGTTCATGCCTTCATTACCTCTAGACTTGACTACTGCAATAGCCTCCTCTTCGGTCTCCCTTCCACTCATCTTCAAAAACTACAATACATTCAGAACTCCGCCGCCCGCCTTCTCACCCACACCCGCTCCAGAGATCACATCACCCCCGTCCTCAAACAACTCCACTGGCTCCCTGTCCCATACCGCATCCAATACAAGGTCCTCCTCCTCACCTACAAGTCCCTCCATAACCTGGCCCCCTCTTACCTCACCGACCTCCTCCATCATCACTGTCCCTCCCGCCGCCTCAGATCCACAGACTCCAACCTCCTCACTCCCCTCAGGACTAAACACCGAACCTTGGGGGACCGAGCCTTCGCTGCAGCTGCCCCCACTCTCTGGAACTCACTCCCTCAACCCGTCAAAAACTCAGACTCACTACAGAACTTTAAATCTCTCCTAAAAACCCACCTGTTTCATCTTGCCTTTCCTTAATTTTGTTTTTCAATGTTTATTTCTACGTGTTTTGTAAAGCGTCTTTGAGTGTCCAAAAAAGCGCTATATAAATTTGATGCATTATTATTATTATTATTATTATTATATAAAGTCACCTCCGTGAACACATACTAGTGTTGTATAAAGTCACCTCCGTGAACACATACTACTGTTAAATAAAGTCACCTCCGTGAACACATACTGCTGTTATATAAAGTCACCTCCGTGAACACATACTGCTGTTATATAAAGTCTCCTCCGTGAACACATACTGCTGTTATATAAAGTTTCCTCCGTGAACACATACTAGTGTTGTATAAAGTCACCTCCGTGAACACATACTACTGTTATATAAAGTCACCTCCGTGAACACATACTACTGTTATATAAAGTCACCTCCGTGAACACATACTACTGTTATATAAAGTCACCTCCGTGAACACATACTACTGTTATATAAAGTCACCTCCGTGAACACATACTAGTGTTGTATAAAGTCACCTCCGTGAACACATACTACTGTTATATAAAGTCACCTCCGTGAACACATACTAGTGTTGTATAAAGTCACCTCCGTGAACACATACTGCTGTTATATAAAGTCTCCTCCGTAAACACATACTAGTTGTAGTGACTATTTGTCAAAAAATAGACTATCAAACCAAATGTAACCAAACTTAAGAACAAACTCAAATAATCACTAGAATGCACCATGGGTAAGTGGTTTACGCAGTACTAAAAATAAACAATTGTCCATTCCAAAAATGTAAAGTTCAAAAAGGGTTTATTCATCAAGTTGCAGGCAAACAACACAAAAATGCTGCATCTCCTAGAACTGGTAAAAAACCATAGGCCCACCCAGGTGCATGAAGGCCCGCCCGGTACTGCCCCCTTATATCCCCTAGGTGCCACTAAACCAAAAAACTAAACCGAACTGAAGTAAACCCAAAATAATCTACAAAAATATCTAAATTACCAAAAAACAAAAATACTAACCTCAGCAAAAAATTACTAAATATTAAAAAATATACAAACCCCAAATAATTAAATCAATCAATCAAATAGCTCCTACACTCCAGCCCCTAATTGTGCATAAAATCACTATTACTGCACTAAGGAGCTATTCTGACCATGTCAGTGTTATCTATGTGTAAGTGTATTAGCCTTAAGTGAGTTTTCCTTCTTAAACCTGAAATAAACAAAGATAGAGCAAGATGAAGAGAGAAGAGAAAGATCGACACTTTGGTCAAGAGTCCGAAGCCGCTTCCAACAGCAGGCAGAGCTTGGTCACTGGTCTTTCCAACACACTGGCTTTGGTCTTGAGCTGCACAGTACGAACTAGGCCTTTTGAGTCAGTGTTGACTGCCAGGACTCTTCCCATCAGCCAGCATCCTCTAGGGGCAGTGGCATCAGCAACCAAAACTATGTCTCCACAACAGAGATTTCTTCTTGGCCTGACCCACTTTTGCCTTTCCTGCATCATGGGCAAATACTCAGAAATCCATCTTTTCCAGAATATGTCCATCATGTATTGTACTTGTCTCCATCTTTTCTTCAGATACATGTCTTGTTTTTGGAATAGTCCAGGTGGCAAGACTGGCTTTCCCTTTAATGTCAAGATAGAGTTGGGTGTGAGAGCCTCAAGATCTCCTGGATCCTCAGATATTGATGTGAGAGGTCTGTCATTCAAAATGGCCTCCGCTTCACATAAAACTGTCTGGAGGACTTCATCGTCCACAATCTGCTGCTTGAGGACAGAGGAAAGGCACATTTTTAACT